AAGAGCTGCGTCGGAGGAAATATGGCCTTGTCTACGGCGTAAAGTGTTCGGGTGTTATATCAGGTCTTACACAGAGGTGTCGCATAGGGTGTTCGGATATAATAAAAAAAACAAATTATAGAATCCGTCAGTAATCCGTGAGACCAATTTATTAAGACTAATTAATCTATCATTAGCACATGTGTTATTGTAGCATCACATTGTCAAATCATGGATTAATTAGGCTTAAAAGATTGATCTAGTAAATTAGTCGTAAACTGTGCAATTAATTTTTTTCCCTATATTTAATACGTTATGTATGTGTCCAAACTTTCGATGAGATAAGAAATAAAGTTTATGTGGGAAACTAAACAAGGCCTACATATACACAGCCATGCAATTCATGGGCTCGTGGCGCCCGTGGGTTTTCGAAATTTAGCCCGCCCAAGCACGAACGGCCTTGTAGCCATCGGGCTGAGCAGCCCCACCCAAAGACCAGGATGTGCCTGGCCGCCACCTAGGCCAGCAAGCACACGCACGACGGCACGCCTCGGTGAAAGAGGCGCCCATGGCGCCAAGCCTCCAACAATGAGCTAGTGAGGCGAGCAGCAGCGACCCATACCAAGCCGCCTCCCATGGCCGTATATATCTTGCCCCCGCCCGCCCCGATCCCTAACCCTAATCCCACTCCACTCCCGCCGCTTGCAGTTGCAGTCGTCTCGTCTCGCTCGCTCTCGATCCGCCGCCTGGAGCTCGCCACCGCTCACCTTGAGCTCGCCGGGCCTGCTCCGATGACCTCGTCGCCGCTCGTCCACCTCGACCTGAGTTCGCTAACCATCTCCTCCCTCCTTTCCCTCCCTATCCCCTCTTTCCCCCCTCCTCCGGTGTACCATGTGAGTTCGCCGTGTTTGTCCTTCCGCCGCCGCTCGCCGTCGTTCTAACTGTTGTCTATCTCCTCCTCCTGTCGCCTCCCAGCCTCTTTTCTCCCAAGACTGGCTCGGTGGCGGCGCGAGTTAGGATTAACCCTAACCCTAACCTTAGATCTGTGTTGTGTCTGTCCATCTTTCACTCACTCACTGACTCACCCCTGTTCTTCGTAGGTTGGTGGTGCCTGACGCCGCGTCTTCCTCCTCTGGAGGCGCCATGGCTAGGCCGCCGGCGCCAAAGCGCCAGCGTCCACCGTTGAGGGACGGTGTTGGAGCTGGAGGTCAGGGCCGGGGCCGACCGTCCGGCCCTTCATCGGCTGGGGTCACCATGCCGGTGGTGGCGGATGTCTATTCCCACCTAGCCGATGGCGAGCACCCCGAGCCCGAGGAGGAGCTAGAAATCGAGGACGACACACGGCACGGGGAAAATGGCCGCGCCCAACGGGCGGCACGGCACGGTCAGACGGCCCACGGGTCGTAGGCCAGGCACGAAGCCCGTAGAGGCACGGCACGGCAGGTACGACGGTCCGTCGAGGCAAGACCCCCATGGGCCCGTTGGCCATCTATTGGCCTACATACTCCCGCGCCGTTTGTACAGCAAACAGCACCGCGAGGCACGTGCATGTCTCATCACATCGCAAATATGCCCGCCGGCGGTCCCCGTCCTTTACCGTACGTACAGCACAGCCACGGCAGCATCCACATCCACTCTCCAGGGTGTACCACCGGCGACCGCGACTCCATTTTACCCAGACCGCCCACACCCGGGACGGTGGGCCCCACGGGCCTGTGGCGGCCTTGACCGCCACGGTGGCCGCGTGCGGGAAGACGACACGCGCGAGGACACCGCGGTTTTTTCTTCCCTGCCCGGGGCAAATTATCGCGGCACGGACGGAACGGACGGGCGGACGGACGCTTGGCCGTCGCGTGGCGCTGCGGCCGTCCGATCGCGCGGCGTGGGGGACCGGGGCCGGGTACGGGGAGCCAAAATTCTCGGCGGGAGAGGGAGAGAGTTTCCCTCCTGGGCTGGCCATCTCCCTGGTTTTGGCACGGCCCTTCCTGAAACGGAGCTTGAGCTGTCTGCGCGTTTCGTTCCTTTGCCTCATCAATTAGCGGGACGGTCTGGGCAATTTATGGCAGGTGTTATGGAGTCGTACTTGTGTGTGTGTGTGTATATATATATATATATATATATATATATATATATATATATATATATATATATATATATATATATATATATATATATATATATATATATATATATATATTCCAACATGGATTTACTTCTTCGTATGTACTTGTTCATTTCCGTGTTACGCTGTGCAACTTGTACAAATTTGCGTGTTTTGTACTTAGAGTCTTAGTGACCATTTCTGTCTGTATGTTCAGTAGTTACCACTTCAGGTTGTTTCAAACAAAGCTGTTGAAGTAAATTGCACCAACTCCCTCGATAAAAAAAATACAATTCTAACTTTTCAAGCAGTCAAACAAATTTAAATTCAATCAAATGTATAAAATTTAACATTTATAATGTTAAACAAATATAAGTCCTTTTATTTTAAACTGTAATACGTTTCATTTTTTCTAAATACATCGTTTTTACTCTAGACATAATGCATGTCTAAGATAGCAAAGGTTATGTACCTACAGCTACAAGACCCAAAATGTTTCATGCTTTCGAATGGAGAGAGTACTAGCTTAATTATAGATCTAGATGTTATAAATCTATTTAGGGACATTAACATTTTAAATCTAGATGTTATAAATCTTTTTAGAGACATAAACGTGCAAGTCCCAAACACAACGTGCAGCTGAGTTGAGACTTGAGAGGCTGCTTCTTGTAACAAAGGCGGAAACAAAAGAAGAAAGCGACTACCACCGCAGTTTTCCACGTAGCACGTGAACGGCAAATGCAAAGGCTTTGCACGAGTTTCACCTCGGTGGCGCAGGCGCGGCAAAGGCAAAAGGGCAGAACCGTAAAAGACAACCTCACTTCCACGAGGGGCGGCAGCGCCTCGCGGCCCGGGCCTGTCGGAGTTAACTCCGGCCGCAACGTGGCGGCCCGGCGGGCGAGACCAGACAGCTGGACGTCACGTGCCGCGCTCACCCGGGGTGTGTCCCCCCAGCCGTCCGATGCGTGCGACGGCCCAGATCCCCCCTCCTCGAAACGGCTACGCTGAGCCTGCTGCGCATACTGTAGCATGGGCCATGGAGTGAAGAGTTGGTGGTGTGTGCTGGTGGCGCGTCACGTGAGAGGTGGGCCCCAAGTGCACACCCAACTGTGCCAGTGGCATGGCCCCTCGAGTCTCGGCGCGGTCAACGTGGGGCGTCGCACGGCGCCACTGCAGCAGGTGCGGGGAGCGGATCAAGTAACAGTACTTTCTTTAGCCGGAGAGATAAGATAGGATAGCCGTTACCGCTGCTGAAACCCACGTCGGAGAAAACACACACAGGCACAGTAACAGTAAATTAATCCAACGTGTAAAGTTTTGAGACGTTACGTCGAATGTTACGTGGGGTTGTTACGTGAGCGTGTCACGTGGGGGTTGGATACTAATAAAAAAATAAATTATAGAATCTATCAATAAACCACGAGATAAATTTATTAAGTCTAATTAATTCATCATTAGCACATATGTTAATGTAGTATTTTATTGTCAAATTACGAACTAATTAGGTTTAAAAGATTTATCTCGTAAATTAGTCGTAAACTATATAATTAATTATTTTTTAGTTTATATTTAATACTCTATGCTATCAAACATTTAACGTGACAAGATATAAAGTTTTAAGGCGGAAACTAAACAATGCACCTTGAAGCCATTTCAAGACTACCGCTACGAAGCTACTGCCACTAGGCATGATGGCCTAGCGTAAAACGGTCTCACCGTCACGGGCGGTCAGCCGCTCGGTAACACGGCGCTGGCGCGCCGCCCGTCACGTCGGAGTTGTACTTGACCGGGGTGCCGCTGCCGCGGCCCCGTCGGTCCCGGCCAAACGATGCATTCACTCAGGGATCACACCTCGCAGCGCGGTGTGGCCCGTGTCGGCACTGTTTTGGGTCGGCAGGCATCGTGGCGATCGGAGCCCGCCCTGCCTGTTGGGGGCCAACCATCTCCGAGACTTGGAGCGGGACGCCTGTCTGCCCAGTGCCCACGCCAAAGGGTTCCAACGGTGGCATCGCCATCATCCATCCATGGACATGGACGGGACGGGGAGGGGGGATATCCGGTCATGACTCATGCCCAGTTACAGCAAAATATTTCCATCATCTGCACGCTGCTGCAGCTTGCGGATTCAAAGCGAATTGCGAAAGATTCGTCCAAATTCGTGCACGAAAGTTTCGCGGCAGCCGCGCGTACGGCGGTTGCGAGCCCGCAATCAGCTACGAGTACCCTGTTCCATCACGACATGGGGGCACTGCTGGTCACTGGACACTGATCCTGCTTGTCGTGGCACGAGTAACGATACAACGGCGCAACAGCAGTCTCAGCGTGAATGCGCAATTGTTAATTACCACAGGGCAGCATTTGCCTGCAAGGCTAGTGTTTAGAGGGAAATAGCCAAAGGCACAGACCACGCCAAAATCTCTGAAACAGAGAGAGGGAGGTTGCCGCAGTACAGTACCATTAGGCTTGTTCGACATAACTAAAAAATACTGTTCCAACTAATTATTATAAGAGAAAAATACTATTCTAACAAAACATAAACAGTGATTCTGTGAGAGCCAGCCGGCAGCCAGCCAGTTACCCAGCCGAACACGCCCATTACCCACAACCTACCTCCTGTCAAAAATATTAACCACGGATTAACCCCCCGTCTCAACTCCTCACGCCACCCGCGAGATGGCCACGTGGACGTCAGTCAATGGTTGGCTCGGTAGACCGGGCCCACGCGTTAGGAAATTTACCGTGCCCGGCTATATAATGCGCTGCCCTTTACCGGGCTATACTCCTGTCCCTGTCGCCTCCTCACGTTTATCGCCTCGCGTCTGTGTCCGCGTCCGCGCGCGCCCCAGTCCCACAGCCAAGTACAGTACTCGAGTGCACGCTGTCTGCCTCCGCCCTTGGATGCGCCTCGCCGCCGCCGGCCATGGCCTCCGCCGTCGCTAGCAACGTGCACGCGGGACCCGCCGCCGCAGGGCCCATGGCCTTCGGCTGGCTCGGCCCGCCGCGCCTGTCCTTCGGCGCCCACGCCGCGGTGGCGGAGGAGGAGGAGCCCGCCTCCACGGCGGCGGAGTCCAAGGCGGAGCCGGCGGCGATCTCGAAGGACTTCATCGACTTCGAGTTCAGCCTCGGCGGGTCCGCCACCATGCTCCCCGCGGACGAGCTCTTCGCCGACGGGAAGCTGCTCCCGCTCCGGCCGCAAGCCCCCGCCGGGAAGACGGCGGCGACGGAGGCCGAGCGGGAGCGGGTGCGACGGGACACCGCGCTGGTCGCGGAGGTCATGCCCTTACCGGATGCGGTCAGGGCTATGCATCCAGCTGCGCCCGAGGTTGCGCTCGACCCGTACGTGTTCTCGCCCAAGGCGCCCACGTGCTCCAGCCGGTGGCGTGAGCTGCTCCGGCTCAGGAAGGTCCAGACACCGCAGAAGCCGTCCGCGTCGCCGTCAGCGTCCCCCGCGGCGACGGCGGTGACCCCGTCGAGGGCGTCCAACTCCTCAGCGGCCAGGTCGCTGAAGCTGCTCCTCCTCCAGCGGAACGGCGGCCGCGCGTCGGGCGCCGCCGCGTCGGACCTCTCCGCGGCGCCTCTCCTCCGCGACAGCTCCGACTCGGAGACGTCGCTCTCCCTCGCGTCCTCCCGCTTCTCGCTCTCGTCGTCGTCCTCCTCGTCCGGCCACGACCACGACGACTTCCCGCGCCACTCCCTCGACTCCGTCGACCCCACCCCACGTCCCCGCATCCGCCTAGTCCGCTCCCACCCCCACGCGCCGCAGCCCCAGTCGCATCCGCAACCACACCCACCCGTCGCTGCATCCGGCTCCGCTCCCGCTCCCGCGCCCGCGCTCGCCGCCCACAGTCCCGCTCGCCGCCGCTCGTCTCCGTCGACCCCGCCGCCGCCAAGTGTGGTCTCTGTGGACTCCCCCCGCATGAACGCGTCAGGCAAGATCGTGTTCCAGGGCCTGGAACGCAGCTCCAGCTCCCCCGCCGGCAGCGTGCACTCGTCGATGCGGTCGCGGTCCCGCGTCATGGACCGATCCTACTCCGCTGGCGTCCGCGCCACGCCGGTCGTGCTCAACGTCCCGGTGTGCTCGCGGCCGGTGTTCGGGTTCTTCAAGGACAAGAAGGACGCGGCGGCCAAGGACGCAGCCTCGGCGCGGGCGCGGTCGGCGCTGGGCCGGAGGACGCCGACTGGCGGCAGCACCACTCTGGCGGCGGCCGGAGCCGGTGGAGTGAGCGGCAGGGATCTTGGCAATGGTAACTGACACCGTTCGTTTTGGTTGACTAAGCGCTAGTAGTATCATTAGTGCTAGCTAGTAGCAGAGGACATTAGCTTGTGGTTCTTCAGTCCGACAAGAAAATAGATCAAAAAAGAGTTTGAGAAGTTTGGGATCTCATCTGGAGTGAAGAAGAGAGACACAATTGGGAGGATAGTTTGGTGAGCTGATTTTGCTTTGTGAGGCTAGAGTTTTGCGAGCAATTGATTAACACCCCGTCCGTTTTGCTCCTGTAAATTCTGTCTGCCCCGTGGTTTTTGCTACCCTTCCTGTTTGTAATCCACTGTACTAGCATATTTGTTGATCTCATGCTCTCAGTCAGCTCCGGAGTGAGAAAAAAAAAGGAAAAAGCTTTTGTGCATGATTGGTTTGTTGTTTGCCGTGGCAGATTGATGCTCTGCGATACCTGTTCAGTGAGAACTGAAAAGTGAAAAAGAAGAAGGGTGTTGGTGTTAATCATGGTGTCATGTGTCCCTGTTAAAAGCAACTTCTCAGCGACTCTCAGCCAGATAGCCATGCACGCACTTGGGCAGCAGTAACTTTCTACCTCGCCTCGCCTGCATGCATCGGCCCGGCCGTCGCTCGCTCTCTGTGCTCCTGCTGCTGTTAATTGATGGAGATGCCGGTCCGAACAGGGGAGCCGGAGAGCCTGGAGCGCCTCCATGTGTGCCGCTGATCGGGCACTGTGCGTCATGTGCAGTGCAGCTATCCATGGCGCCCGCGCCGCGTAGAAAAACAGGCCGAAAAGGCAGTAAAAAATTCGGCGCCCTTTCCCTCGGGCGGCCACCGGCGTTCCGGCAACGTGGCCGCCGTGGCCGTGGTCTCTTGGGCTACCCGGGCGGCCGATCCGTACGCCGTGCCGCGCCCTGCGCCCATGTGGGCTGTGGGCTGTTGCCGCCGAGTCCGATACTCCGATGTCATTGCCGGCCATGCCCCTCCTGGCGCTAGCTCGTAAACTAAGCGCCACTTTGCCCTTTCGCTGCATCTCCTTTTTTGGAACAGTACCGTATGTATCATGGAAAGTGTATCCTGCTGTGTTTTGACAGCAGTGTTGTGCATGGGCTTTCGTTTACGCTGCGTCTTTTGACTGGTGCAGCCTTTGGCTCCTGATGAACGCTGTTCACCGCTGCACCGGCGAGCACGGGCACCTGCGCAAGAGTGTTTTGTCCGTTGTGCTCCAATCGATGCTATTGCTATGGCTGGGCTCCTAGTCAGTGAGTGAAACTGGGCTCTGAAAAGCCGAAAAGGTTAGTGGCAAGTAGCGAGCTGGGCAGTGACCGGCAGCAATGGTGGTGGCGCCGAGGGAGGGCGGAGCACGGAGGAGACATGGAACAACACGGGCGGGGGCGGGCGACGGGCGGCCAAGAGGAGATCAGAACGAATCCGTGCGGGGCGGCTGGTCATCGGGCGTGGCGTATAGTAGAGTACAGCGTGCGCAGGCACCTGTAGTACGCGGCCGTGTCCTCTCTCTCCCTGCTACATGTCTCTGGCGCGCGTGATGAGTGTCTTGTTGATCGGTGCGCGCGCCGGGCAGACGGGCAGTGTGCAGCGCAGGGTGGCGCAGGGCGGAGCCATGATGCGATGGGATGGCCGATGGCGCAAGCGGGGATCCGACGGCTGGTGGGAGGGTCGGGCTCTGCCGCCCGCGCGGCCCGCCCCCGGCCACCGCGAATTCCTGCCCCTCGACCGGGAGGCAGCGCCCCTGCACCCCTGCGCCGCTGCCATAAAATACTCCCTCTACCACGCTCCTCCTCCGCGTTCGCGTTTGCACTGCATTGCATTGCAGCAACGACGCCGACGTCGATTGCTCCCTAGGCTACTGCGATTTGTTTGCTGAACACTGACCGAGCTACGCAAACCGTTTGGAGCGTTTCGTACTCTACTCTATCGGCGGAGAGATGCGGCGGCTCATCCAACGTTTCGCCTTGAAGTTGCGGACTTGCGCTAGACAGGTGAGCTGCTGCTGCGCTTCCAATGCGCGAGACGCCCGTGGGTTACGCAGACTTTGCAGAAGCCTAGTACGTGCGGCGATCTGTGGAATGCTGGTGATGGGCTGATGGCTGATGTGGCTCGAGTTCATCGCGCATCCTGCGATGCGATCCGTGAGTTTGAGTTTGAGGCGGATACCGATTACCACACGGTGCCGGTCAGCTACTATAGGCCATGAAACGTAGGTATGGGCACAGGGATATCTCGTGCCGGAGCCTGGGCCGGATATCAGTTGCTGTGCGAGATCAACCGGGCCGCCATGGCCATGCCGGCCCCGGCCGCATCTTTCCTTGCTAGGTACCCACGCTACCCAGTACCCACGCTGATTCAAAATATATATACTCGTTTTAGGATTTTTTGCTATCCAAACTTTTAAACTTTACTAACTTTCAATAGATTAAGAATTACAGTAACTTAAACTGTTAAAGTATAGCACCCACAACTTTATTGCGCTTTCATATCCCTGCAAAGTTCTTTCTTATGGATATAACAGACAACTCTCCTGTCGGTTTTATTTAAAAAAAACGATTTACCTCCTTAAAGTTGGTCGTCCAATATGGCTCTAGTATAGTGTTCGTTGTAAACCTTTTTCCTGAGCAATAATTGATCTCTACACCTAATAAGTTTCTGGAGGAATCGTTCACCTCAGGCAGAACGAAGTCTCCGGTAAAAAACTCTCTGCAAGGTCCAATTTAGTTCCAGAAAATTTTGTAAAATTTTTCAAGATTTCCGTCACATCGAATCTTTGGACGCATACATGAAACATTAAATATAAATAAAAAATAAAACTAATTACACAGTTTAGACGAAATTCACGAGACAAATCTTTTAAGCCTACTTAGACTATGATTGACACTAATTGCCAAATAACAACGAAAAAGTGCTACAATGCATTTTGCAAAAAATTTCACCATCTAAACAGGCCCTAAGAAAACTCAGGCTTGTTTAGTTCCTCCCCTAAAGTTTACTCCTTATCCCATCAAATTTTGGATACATGTATGGAATATTAAATATAGACTAAAAAATAACTAATTATACAATTTGCGACTAATTTACAAGATGAATCTTTTAAGCCTAATTAGTCCATGATTTGATAATGTGGTGCTACATTAACACATATGCTAACGACGGATTAATTAGGCTTAATAAATTTGTCTCGTGGATTACTGATAAATTCTGTAATTTGTTTTTTTATTAATATCCGAACACCCCATGCGACACCCCACGTGACAACCGATGTGACACCCCAAAACTTTACATCCTGGATTTAAACATGGTATAAATGTGAACACTACAACGAGGTGTCATCGGCCGATGAATAGATTTGAACCAAATGCAAAATCATTTATTATTTTTTTTCTTATTTTGTAAAAATGATTAAATTCGTTATTGTAGGTGTGGGCAAAATATTATTGTCCCGTGCAACGCACGGGCATGTATTTAGGATAATAATTGGGTAAAGTATATTTTTCAACCTCCAATTCGCATTGAAGTTCGATTTTCAACCTTCAATTATGAAACCGGGTAACATACACTCTCCAACTGTCAAAACCGGACAAATTTAATCATCGACTGGTTTCAAAAATGGTTTTCTATTTTCTAATAATAATAAAAATTTGGTTTGATCTATAGAAGTTCATAATTAATTTGTTTTAAATTATAAAAATACGAAACTAGTTGATGTTTTCTTCTAAAAGTGTTACATATGTGTGTGTGTTGATGCTATATTTGAAATTGTTTAGACTTTACTTGTTTTAAATAAATAACAAGCGTGACAATGAGTAATAAAGCAATAGGAACATAAATAAACCAATTTCAAATACATATATATAGACCATAAACAAGTAGAGAACATTTTTAGAAAAAAGTACTAGTTTCATATTTTTCTAATAAAAAATAAATGGTGGGGGGATTGCAATGCTACTGTATATATTAATACAATGCTTGGCGCTCGCGGCCCGCCTCTTAAGTTGTTTTTGGCCAAAAGCAAGGTGGTGCGTGTGGAGACAAAGGCAGCGAACTGTCATGTAACATAATAGAAAGCGAACAATTTAATTCCGTATGAAATTTAATTCCATGCGAAATTAAAACAATTTTAAATATAGCATCAACATATATATATAACATCTTTAGAAGAAAACATGAACTAGTTTCATATTTTTATAATTTAAAATAAATTAATTACGAACGTCTAGAGATCGAACCAGATTTTTATTATTATTAGAAAATAGAAAACCGCTTTTGAAACCAGCCGAGGACCAAATTTGTCCGATTTTGACAGTTGAAGAGTGTCTGTTACCGGTTTCATAATTGAAGGTTGAAAATTGAACTTCAATGCGAATTGGAGGTTAAAAATGTACTTTACCCTAATAATTATGGAGCCACTTCCAATCTCTCTATAAAACCGCACAACCAATATAAATGACTATCAACTTACGACTAGATGACCTACGTGTCTAGGTGAAAATGTCATGACTTATGTTACGATGTTACCGTCAGGGGTGAACCTAATACATAGGGCACTTAAATTCTGGGTTTCTAAAAAAATACCTTCTTTCGTGTAGTTATAGATGTCATCAGTAATAAACCGTCACTCAAATTTTGTGCTAGTTATGCCCCGGATCACCATGACAAAAAACCTGCAAAGTGTACTCTTGAAGGATGAGGACCCTGTTGAGGTATCGTGATCCGTGAGTTTGGTGCGGATGCCACGAGGATCTCTTTTCACACTGTGCGGGGCAACAAAGGTGGTCCATGAAACGTACACTTCTATGCCGGCCCAGGTCAAATGGCAGATGGATATCTATGCTGGACCCTAGGCCGGTATCAGTTGCTGTGCTGGATCAACCGGGCCGCCATGTCCATGTCGGGCCAGCACGCATCTTTCCTTGCTATGTAGCCTCGTTGATTTGTTTTAGGATTTTGATGTCGAAACTTTTAAACTTTAGTAGTAACTTTCAATAGATTAAGAATTAATTACAGTAAACCTGTTATAGTATAGCAGACAACTTTATTGATTGGTTCCGTGAGTTTGCTGCCTGCGTGAGTTCGAATGCCACGATTTGACTCATGTCTCTTTTATTTAAAAAAATCACACGGTGCAAAAGGGGCACCCACAGCCATGGATGGTTCCATCTCGAAACGTACTTCCTATTCGTATGTTGTAGATCCGGCCCAGGTCAATTCTACAGTTGTACCTAGAGGAGAGGCTAAAAAAAACTTTATTGTGTGTGTTATTCTGCTATAAGACATAACTTTTGAGGTAGCCATAGGAGGAGAAAGCGAGAGGTATATAGGATCACTACTACACAAGCTTTAGCAGGCGTTTTGGTTTCAGCCCTGGCAAAACTGGTATCAATCGTGGCTGTTAATGCGGCGGCCTTGCCATGCAGATTATCGATGCCTTATCATGGATCAACCGGTAAATATACTTTTTACCATGCCCATTGCGTTAATCATTTTAAAAAAAAAAAAAAACAAGGACGCATCTTTGCTTGCTATGTATCCGTCTTCGCTGATCCGTGCACTTGTTTTGGTGGAGGTCCCATTGGCGCTGTCGAATCCGGCGTCATGGCTTGGTGGAGGGAGGCCCGCCTACCGACGCTGTCCTCGCTTTGGTTGGGTAACTTTCAATGGATTAAGAATTAGTGTGAGGACAAGATCTACCGTTGATCTGAGAGAGACCTGCGCGGATCTGTATAGCCGGCCGGAGGAGGGAGAGGAAAGGGCGCAACTTCCACCGCCGTCGGGGCCCTCCACCACCGTGGAGGGAGAGGAAGAGGCGCTACAGGGGCTCCACCGCTCGGAGGAGGAGGAGAGAGAAGGGGGCGCTATCGCGCCCCGTTGCCTGGGAGGAGTGGGGAGAGGAGAGGAGAAAGCGAGAGGAAGGATATAAAACCCTAATGGAGGAGTCGTAGATGAATATCGGCCAGCTTGGACAAGGCCTAGCGTTTGTCCGCCACGGTAAATCAATTTATAATAGCACGAGCTCAATACCGTCAAAGAGTGCTATGAGTTGGAATAGGTGAAACAAGCTCGTGTGCTGCTCAAAATTGTTTGTGTAGTAGGGATGAGGAGCCTAGAAAAAGGCGTAGTAGGTCAAAGAGATGGATGGTTCAAATGAGCTGAGCCTGCATGTGGTAGTGGGTGAGCCTAGAAAAAATAGGGAGAGGGATGGTTCAAATGAAAGCATGAATACTCAGCTCAGTATGACACGATACAGTGTAAAAATAACCCTACAAAACCAGAGGTCATTTATTTGAATATTATTAGATGTTTTAATAAGGACTAGAGTATATGTAATATTGTAAGTAAAACCACCCTCAAACCATCTTGGAGGGTTATTTAGACGATCTTAATACACTTCAAGGGACAGAATACATTGTTTTATGGGTGAAGGGGTGACGTAAGGGTTATGAATTAATAACAGAGATTGAAATTATTCATGACAGTACTATAGTTTACAACTTTACATGAATTACATGACACTAGGAAATGGTGAAGCCCGTGGAGGCGTATTGGAGGCTTATCGAGACCAATACCAAACAATCGACTTTTCGATGCGATTGCCATCCCAAACGTCGAAAGTCGTCGTCTTCACCCCGCACATTTCTTATCGCAATTGGCTGTATTTCTTTCCCGTCGCTTGCAGTTGCCGGAACCAGTTGCTATTACGCAATTGAAAGCCTTGTCGTACGTGGACGGAGTTAGCCCTGGCCTGACGATCTTGATTACTTGCCCAATTGCTCCTGGCCCGGTTCTTGCATTGGCCGTGACACGTCGTGCTGCGGCATCCATTGGATCGGATTGGAGAACCAGTCAAGACTGCTTATTTCTATCTAGCAGCCACCTCTTGCTATCGTTGATTACTACGCTACTAGACTCACATCACATGGATACACGATACCCCAGCCGGCCATTCTAGAGTTGCTTGTCTACTGATCAGTCGTCTGGCCGCTGGGCGCTGGCGTTGGATCGGCTTGCTTATCAGCACAGCATCTCCAGACTCCAGACTCTCTCCCAAGCTAGGTCCTTTTCGCTTCACAAATCGTGGCGTCAGTTAATGGTAGAGTTCTGTTACTTGTGCAACGTCGTCTTTACGGCTAGTCCTGGGCCGGCACCGGCGGCTGTCGCCGTCGCGCGCGGCTTGCTGCAGTGCTCTGCCTCCGATGAGAGAGTTCCGCATGGCATGCTCGTCTAGGAGGCTGTGCGGCAGCTCTCCCGGGAAGGACCGTAAGAGTAAGTACACCTCGCTCGCCCGCTTGCTCTCTCCGTCTCTGTCTTGCTCTTGTTCTTGTTCTTGGACGAGGTTATTTCAATCTGGCTTTGTGAGATATAATAACACTGCTTTCTTTTATTAGCCAGAGCTATTATCTTTAGTTTACCATCGTCTACACGATTATAAGTTCCATATTTGTATAGCTAGGCTAGATCTATATCTATCTAGATTTTTTTAGCTTTTCACATCATTTTGATTTGTACCATCTTTTTAAATGGAACTCAAATTTGGTTTTCAAAATCTTGTAGCTAGTTTTTCCTTGGTTTTCAAAATCTTGTAGCTAGTTTTTTCTTTCTTGACAGTCAAAAAAAAGTTTTTCCTTTCTTTCCTTGTCATAGACACGTCTCTCTTTCTATAGCAGAACGAGACTATGTTGTGCTCTAGGGACAACGAAGAACGATGTTGTAGAGCTCCATTGTTGTTCCATAGTTTGTGTTTGATGGTTGTGGCAAGAACCAAGAAGAGGAAGATATGCAGAAGCCGGTGTGACCTTTTCTTCGCAGATACTAGAATATAAGAAGGCCGTTTGACCCGTAAAGCGCGTAAATAGGCTGAAACTTGACCAGACTCATTTTGTATGGAAACAGTCGGCCCATTGTGGAGCAAGTGTAGATGGCCTTATCATTAACTCTCGGCCCAAAGCCCAAACATACATCATCGTCTTGGCGGCCCGATTTCCTGTTTCCCCGTGTCGTCGACCATTGATGGAAAGAGAAAAACAGACTCACTGCTGCTCACCGTCGGTCACCGGAGAACATCGTTAACAGGAAGTCGGAGGACAAACATAACGGGAATATTGAAAAAGTAAATCGCTTTTTTCTCCAAAATGGTATGCCACACCGGTTAGCCTCACCGGGGGTCACTGATGATACAGATCGAATCACGCCGTCCCACTCCATTCGAGGTTTCTTGGTGCCCTTTTCTTCTTCTTCGCCCAGCTCCGATCCCAATCCCAACCTCTCCGGTCCGACCTCCCACACCCCCCCTCCCCCCAGCCCCCCTCTCTCTAGGTGGTCAAAGGCGTGTGAGGAGGCCATGGAGAACGTCTACGACGAGCCTGCCCTCCTCGCCGTCGCCGGCGAGCCCCGCGAGCTGGGCTTCGTCGTCCTCCCTCGGCTCCGAGGCCGCCGCTTCAACGCAGCGGTCGCCGTCGCGGCATGGGGCGTCGCGGGGCTCCTCTCCACCACTGTCCCCGGCCTCGCCGCGAACCGCGACCACGTGATGCTCTGTTTCATCTTCCTCATGGCTGGGGTCCTGCTTCTGTTCCTCACCATCGCCACCGCCGACCTGCCCGTGGTGGAGAGGGCGGCTGCTCGACTTGAGGTCATAGTTATGGCCATGCTTAATTCGACCTAATTTCGTTCCCATCTGTTGCTTCATTCGGCTGCTTTCGTTTATTATTTCTACATTCCGTGCAACGTGCATGACTGCTTGATCGTGAACAAGTGAACATGATCATTTATCTACTAGATAGATCTTGTGTGTATGTATTGCAATCGATACTACTGCTGCTAAGTGCTAATGCTACGATCCTTTTAGATAATCGCTTTTCTGTCTGTGGATTCTCTTCCTTTACCTGTGTGGACTTTGGATAGACAAACATAACTATTAACTAGCATCATCCATGTTTCAGTATGTGATTTCATCCATTTCAGTTGTACTGATATATACTATATATATGTAACGAACACTACAGCTATACATATTGTTTGCTTAATTAATATGTGTGCATTTGATGCCCACACAGCTTGAGTTACTATTGAATTTTTGTTTCAGTTTCTTGTGGAGATAGAGAATCCCAACATGCAATTGTTGATTCCATATCACATATGGACATGCAGAGAAACGCTTGGGGCAGGATTTCAATTTGTTATATATCGACCAAGTAACATATATGTGCATGCATTTGATATCGGCAGAACATCATATCCTGCCCGGCTGCCCCAACTCATGGCGTTTTCATGCATGGCTCGGTGTTCACTGTTGCAGTAGAAGACTTATTACATATATGTAGCACACTAGCTAGCACTAGCATGCATGCACGTATAAATCGGTTTCAAGACACACGATGCACATTTCATTATTTGGTTCTGGATGCACTTGCTGCATAGCTTGAATGCTTAATATTGCATGCATATTCTCACAGTTTAGATGAAGCTTAATTTATTTATTTTGTCAGTAATAATATATAATCAAGGGAAGAAAACTACTAGGAGAAGCTAGTAGTACACAAGTACTAACTAGGCAGCGATAAGTTATACTTTAAAAAACAACAAGCGAACGCAACATGTTTAAGCTGGCATCCGTGCAATAGATTAATATCTAATCTAATCTAATATCTCTATATAGTTCATACCCACTAAGCAATAAATATGAGCTAAAGCTCGCATCTCGTGCTTCCACATCACCTTTCTTTTCCAGTCCTCCGATGTTTATCGAGCAATCGACATCTCCACCCAGCAGCCCCTACACGTACGTACACCTGCGGCTCCCTTCAGCTTCCTTCCCAGCACACGCCTGCAGCCCTGGCCCACCTCCGCCCGCTCGTTTCCCTCCCTTCGGCTTCCTTCCGAGGACACACTGTGATACGGCAGTTTGTCTTCCTCAGGCCGTGTCAGTGAGAGTTTCACTAGAGTTTCATTTACATTTAATACCTTGTCACATATGCATTTTTGATGACGTGTCAACGTTTTAATGAAGAGAGAAGAATTGGGTTTCATAGGGATAAAATTCTCTTTACACAGTTACCAACTCTCTCTGAGTTATAGAATTAAATGTATATGAAACTATGAAATAAAACTTTCATTGAGAATGAGTGTTTCATCCAAATTTTATTTTATTCTATATGACATGACAGTCTTGAAAACAATAAAATAAAACTCTCCACTAAGACTCGCCTTAGAAATTGTCTAGCTCTTAACGTGATCATCTATCATGCAACACTAGATGCTGCCATAAATTCTACCTTTAATGATCGAAGACAAAGAGACTGCTCCACTATCATCTACTGGCTATGTCTGATATTTCAATTGGAAAAAGTCTACGTAATTCACTCAACTATTTAGGGTGGACTACTTCACCTCAAACTATAAAACCAATTTTTTACCCCCTGAACTTTTTAAAACCGGTCAAATAACCCCCAAGCGGTTTTAGGACGATGGTTTTACGGTAGTGATGGTGGTTTTGTCTTTTTTTTTTTATTTTTTTGCTGAATCTTTAAAAATCATAGAAAAATCATAAAATAGAAAATCCAATTTTGTTGGACTTCACAATCTACAGAGTGAACATATAATATGGTATGCTTTAATACAAAGTTTTTACTGTAGCTTTAGATCTATGTTTTTTCTGTAATTAATTGGAATAATTCATAGCTGCAGCTTCTATGGTCCAATTATGATGAAAATTTTATGGTGGGCTAATTAATGTATGCTTGATTTGTAGTAAAAATTTCATACTCATTGGATCATGTATAACTTAGTTATAGATTTATTTAGGTTTATGCTTGTTAAATCTATGCTTTTATCTATAACTAAGTCATACATGATCCAATGAGTATGAATTTTATTATAATTCAAGCATACAATAATTAGCCTACCATAAAAATTTCACCACAATTGAACCATAGAAGCTGCAACTATGAATTATTCTAATTAATTACAGAAAAACTATAGATCTAAAGTTACAACAAAAACTTTGTACTAAAGAATATCATATTATATATTCACCGTGTAGATCTACTCATGTGGAATCCAACAAAATTGGATTTTCTATTTTATGATTTTTCTGTGATGTGATGTAGTATGATTTTCAAAGATTTAGCGGGAAACAAATAAAAAAAGAAAAAGACAAAACCATATTTACTGTAGCAAACTCACCATCCAAAACCGCTTGAGGGGTTATTTGACTTGTTTTGAAAAGTTCAGGAGGTAGAAAATCCGATTTTATAGTTTGGGAGAATAGTTGAGGTGGTTATATAGACTTTTTTCTACTCGGATTTGATCCTTTCGTATCGTATCCCAAGTCATTGAAGCCAAAGAGACAACACCCTTCTCTCTGTCTGTTCCCACTTATATATGCGGTGCTCCGGCAATGACCATCACCTTGCCTCTTGGCTCTCGGCCGATTCCTGCAGCATTCAAGGTGATAGGTAGATGAACAACTGCACATCAGCAATTCAACACATCCTTGCCGGCTTCAAACTGCAGTTCTGTCTTCTCGTAGAGATGCTCCTTTTTCTTTTTCTCTCTGTACCCGTGCAGGTGTCATGCATGATATTTCATTCAAGAAGTTATCTGCTGCTGCTGATCATGGCTAAGCCATCAATTTCTTATTATTTTCCGTACAGATGAGTGCACAACGTCCTGACACATGGATATAGACTTCAATTCCAAAGTTAAGACGCCTACTTTGATTTTTTTTCTTCTGTTGATCTACATGGTTATATTGGTTGTGATATATTTATAGCAGATCATTATTCACCCATCCAGCTATGTGACACAATTTTCCAGGTATGGCTAAAAGACATCATTTGACATGGTCTGATTCATGTCTTTTACAAATTGTTTACATATCAATAATATATATGAATTTGTAATATTAACCTTACGGTGCTCCATCACCTTGAGCATTTTAGCCTGCAAGCAAAGAAGCTTCTACATGTATGCACATCCCTATTTTCAGTTTAATGCTGCGGTTTGCTTTCTGCATGCCCATATATGTGAATTCCTTAATATTGATCCTATTAAATTATTCTTCTCTTAGTTTGCAGGATTATCTAATATATTTTAGGATTTTATTTTTCTATTCTCTTTAACTTTTAGCATAACCTTTCATTGATAGAGAATTTGTCGTAAACTGATCTTTACATCCCGCGGCAACGCGTGGGGAATTCAACTAGTATATTAGAAAACAGATACCAGGCAATATATATAGAGTAAAATGCAGTACAGGTCCCAAAGTTGTTTGCATGTGTCATATAGGGGTCCTCAAAGTTTTAAAATGGCATTAGTCAAAAAAAGTTTTAAAATGGCATTTTTGGGTCCCAGAAATTAGTTAAAGTCTCATGCAGGTCCAAACGGGCGCTTACATGACCCGTTAGCTGACGTGACATCTAGCTCAGCGCTTACAGGGATCTGACAAATGGGACCCACATGTTAGTGACAAGGCTCATTTTTTAAAAAAAATAGTATCATTCGATCTTGCAAGAAGATGATTTTTAAATGAAAATTGTAGCCCTTGATGAGATCTACGTTTTGGTTTTAAAGTTTTTCAATTGAGGTCGTTAAAATGTTAAAAATAATAATATAAAATTTCAACAATATATTAATCGCGTGCTAGAGGTTGATCATGCCATAGTTTTTTTGGCAGATGTTTGGTTCATTACCACAACTATAACGCGCCACACTTTCTCTTAGCACTCTGTTCCACATGTCATAGACTTATTTTCATGCTAAACTTTACCACAAGTGTGGCTTCGATTTTGCTCGCTGCACTTTCTACGGAAGCTACAGTTACCAAAGATTAGTTGTGGCAAACTACGGCACCAACCAAATAGGCTCTATCTTTTCTTCCTCTCACCAACCCCACCCACAACCACCTCGCAAGTCCGCACCAGCGCCACCCCAACCGCCTGCTCGGCCCTCGCACTGTACCGCCCACTCGTCCCTGCCTCCCCGTCACCTACTCGTGATTGTTATTAGACCTCCATAGATTTGTTCAGTTAGACTCCAGTCGAAGTGGAGGGAATTTAGAGGGATTTAGAATCCCCTTAGGTTGTGTTCGGTTATCTCCGTTCTGGACAGTTCCTTGCTGGAACCGTTCGCTATTTAAATTATTAAAGGAAACTCGGCTGGGAATTGTTTCCAACCCCAACCGAACGAGGCTTTAATCTCCTTCAATCCCCTTGGATTAAAGGCTAACCGAACAAGCCCTAAAAGGAAATAAATCCCTAATGAAAAAAAGAAAAAGAGAAATACATTGTTGTGGGCCGTAATTAGATGTGCTCCATTTGGGCTTATGGTCTCCTTTTGGGTCGCTGATGGACCGGTGCGGTGCCTGACTACGAATCCTTAATTTTGGCAATAGACTAATGGGCCTAAAGTTAATGAAAAGGCACACATCGTATATGATTCAGCCCACAACACAAACGGAGAGAAAACATGAAAAAAGTGCAAATCCCAGCCATAAAATGGCTGATACTGGTGCGGATGCAAATTTATAGTGAGAAAAAAAATTGTTATTTTGCTGAAAATATACGGCTGATTGAGTTCGAGCAAACATGGTAAAAACTTTTTTGGTTGACATGTAGAAATTTCGAAATCCGTTTCTCCCATTTCAGAATTCACTCTTGGTTTTTTCCTTGCGCGCGCAGCGCGTGCCGCCGCATGGATGACGACGAAAGCAACTGGCGTTATGGCCCCGTTCGCTTCTCTTATGATTCGTCTTTTTAGCTTGTTTTTTCAGTCGAAACAGTGTTTTTCTCTCCCAACAAATCATCGGGGAACAGTGTTTCGGCTTTCAGCAAAGCGAACGGGGCCATTATGTACTCCTAAGTCAATGCTTTCACGTCTCCCTGAGCCACTCAAGGACAGCAATGCAGAAAGAATCAACAAGGTTGTCATTGATGATTATGCAGAATAGTAGACAGAGAGACAGGCTAGCTAATAACACTGGCCAGCACAGTAGCCGGTAGGTACCCATGCCAGTTGCCAGGGCAGCGACAAGCTGCCATTGGAGACCAAGCAAAGCAAGCATAGTCCGTCTCTCGGTGCTTCTTCCATCTTCATCGCGGTGCAGGCGTACGCAGCGTGGTGACTGGTGAGATGCAGCCCCGGATCCGGATGGCCAGGGGCGCCGCCGCCGTTTGCTGCTTGCCGTCGTTCGGTGCTGTCATGCACGCTTCCGGCCGTCTGGGACGTGTGGCCGCCGTGGCATGGGAGTAGCTAGCTATAGCTAGTTTGCTCTTATGTGTGGACGGGTAAGCATCTCTCTTCAATCTCTCAGCGGTGTTCTTGGGTGTCGGCCGATCTTCTGTAGTGTGATATTTTTGTGAGCCATTCTGTAAGGAAAAGTAAAGCGAGAAACATCTGTGAAATTTTTGCTACCTCTCTCTGGTTCATCTCTATTTGGACTATGCATCCCCAGGACAAGTTTACCATTTTTTGTACAAAGTTTTCGACATTCGCGTTCGTTATTGTATCTGTGCAAGTTCTTCTCTCAAGATTTGTTCTCGCCCCCTAAAAAAGAAAAAAAATATTGTCTTCAAGTTCTAATAATTTTTTTTTGAGTGTATCTAATAATTTTGTGCTCCTCGAGTTTCCGAAACGGAAGACAAGACTGAAGTGCATAGATGCACATAGGCCTGCAACGCCAACAGCCCACTGTGAGAAACATGGGCCCAATTCAAACCGTTTTTGAAAAGGATTAGCTCCTAAGACCGTTCGGGCCCAAAGGCCGAAGGCCGTTTCACTTTCATACCTCCCTTGGCCAATGGCCACGGCTCACGGCATCCTCTACTCTTCTCGTTGTCTTCCATCCCATCTCGATCAGGCGTCCCCAGCCGTCCATCCGCAGCACCTCATCATTGTCCTCTCCGCCCGCCTGTCCCGCCAGGTCACCACCACCTCCTGTTCCTCCTCTTTCAAAGCCCGGGTTGGAGTTGCAGCGAGGCGGCAACGTCCACAGCAGGCCACCACCGACGCGGGTATTCCGATCCCTCCTGCCGGTTTCGCTCTTCTGCTGCCCGCCTGGCCGCATCGCCGTTTCGCCGGTAAGCAGAGCACCCTTCTCTTCCCCACCTTCTGGTTGTTCACAAAACGTACCACTGCATGTTCTATTGCTCGCGCTTTCCTCGTCTCCTCCCCCCACTCCCGACGGCTCGATCCCAAGCTTAATCAACTGAAATCGCAAAAGCACGCAGCTATGAACAACGACGGCGTCGCCGCAGACGACGATTACCGCGGGGCGGCCGCTCGTCACGGCGGCGGCGGCTTTCCCGGCGTCCGCAACCGCCGTTTCAGAGCCGCGCTCTACTTCGCGGCCTGGGGGGGTCTCTGGGATCATGTCCACCACCGTGCCAAACCTCGCAGCGAACGCAGACCACGTCGTGGTATACTTTCTCCTCCTCATAGCTGCCGTGCTCCTGCTCCTGCTCTCCATGGCCGCTGTGGACCTGCCCTGGCTGGAGAGGGCGGCGGCTCGCATCGAGGGCCTTCTCATCACGGCCATGTTTTAGGTGGAGGGCACGCGCGTAATCACAAGCAAGTCAAAAAAGACCTTGGTTCACATACGAGTCGACTGTCTCCCCAAAATAAGAGACATATTCATCCTTTCGATAAACAAGATAACCCTATCTGTAAATGGATTTTCGGAGAGAGATACTCAAATTTAGGTTATGCCTCTCCTGGTATCAAAATAAGTCCTCAATATATGTACTCTGTTGGAGGCTATAGGTATTATGTTGAAGATCTATTTTGAGTTTGGCTTTCGCATTGGGTCTCCTGTCAGAGACAGCCTTATTACCTTGTTTTGATTTTGAGTTTGGCTTTCGCATTGGGTCTCCTGTCAGAGACAGCCTTATTACCTTGTTTTGTTTGGTCTGCTTTGTTCGAGAATGCCTATGTGTGATATATATGGGAATGTAGTGTTGTGTGTACGCATGAATTGTTCGATTTGCTCCTATAAGTTAATATGCTTTTTTTTACGCAAATAAGCTAGTATGCTACTGAGACCTTTTGTAATTCTGTAACTGATGTGAGACCTTTTAATTTGTAATTCTCTGTAATTGATGTGGATTTTGTGTAAGCTGCCCTGTCCTGTTGTAATCTGTGATTAGTTCCAATAATGTGAATGCCCATATGCCACGCTAGTGATACTGTTTCTTATGTTGCTTTTGCTTAACTTTCATTTGTGATGATCCCCATTGACTCTGCGGTTCTTGCATTGGTTAATGATCTATTGGTGATTCTTGCTGGAGAAGAAGGATATAATAATATAGTAGAGTTTAAACAGTCCAAATGCTGGTATTTCGACATGGATATAGACATATAGTGTGGCCATTGATATATGTCGAGTGATATATACTAGCCATACTACTGGTACAACAGCACACTTACGCATCATGCAGAATATGAATATCTTTAGTTTCGTCGATCAGTGGTGCAGGAAACTGACCAATATATATAGTGCGCAGCACCATCAGAATGATTATGTGACTGCTGTTTTTTTTTGTGTGTCTCAAATAAAGCATGTTAGTAAAAAGTCTGCCCCCATTTTGTTTTGAATTTCATTGATTATTGCTCCTTGTTTAGTCTTTCTTTCTAGAACCCACATTTTGCAAGCTTCATCAGCTTCCTAGCTAGCTGCTGCTAGCTACCATGATAATTGCATGCATGAATTTGAAATGTTCATTTCTTTTTTCCCTTTTCGAAACAATATGAAAACATGTTGTTGATGCTGCCACCAGTACAAAAATGTATGTAGTAGACACGCAATCATGCATTTGTATTGCCAATTGCCATGCGCACTGTATAATGTATCAAAAATCAAAATAACATTAGGTCTCACAAAATACTGCTATCAGGTAAAGTATGAATTCAAAAACTGCATATTCTCGTTTGTTGTTAATCAAATGTTAAACAACCATTACAATATTTTTCTACAAAGCATTGCTAAGTTGGTTCCAAAACAAAATGCAGTGCAGATGATAGCGCTATATTATTGTGTAATTCAGAAGTAGTCTTAGAAAGAAGGTCTCCTAGCTACATATGTTCACATGAGACTACAACTACCAAAGCCTAGCCACACTTGCATTGCTAATAAAGTGGTGCAACTCATGTTTTAAAGTTCTATTTCTCCCTGTACCAAACTTTCTTTTAGAAAACAGTCCTGTATATATGTAACTAACAATACATTTCGAACATGCATGAATGATAACTCTAATACGACATGAAGTCAAAGTTTGAACACCAAAACATTCCTTTTTTTTTCTTTTTGCAGCACTAGTATTAATAGCTAATAACTGATCTTAAGTCAGACTGGTGAGTAAAAGTTTGACTAGATCTTAAGCCAACCTGGTGAGTAAAAAGTGAGACTTTCTAACTTTTATTTCTTTCTAGCGTTGAGTTTGTTTGCCACATCCATTTTGCTCGAAGTTATACGTACCCCCTAGTGCAGATAGGACCTACGATCCTGGTTGGGAAACCCTTTCAGCCCTGGTTTCCCAATTAGGTGTACGTTCTACTCCAGTATGTTAGAATTGAAAGGGTGATTATAGTAATTCGTATTAGTTAATTTCTATTCTCTTAGAAGTGATCAGAAAAAAGAAGAAGAAGAAAAATGATAAATAAAAAGAAAGCTCTCGATCTATAAATTGTGTCCTGCGCAACACCTTATAATAACTTGCGCATGTTCATTTCCTGCCATTTCAGTGGCCAGTGTTGTAGGTTTTAAATATCACTTGGGAACCGAGATCTGTTGGTAGAAAACATGACCATAAACCAAAGTACTAGAATGCGCATACAGCAGATATGTGAACTTGCTACAAACTCGTGAAAACCGGATCACCTGGTATCTAATACAAGACCATCCGGTATCCGTTGGAAAATTAACCTGCAGACACCGGCATCACAGGAGGGAGCCCGTTGGGGTTGCAACATCTAGGGCTGTTCAAACGTCTAATCTAGCGCCCGGACGTCCGGCGCACCACGCGCGTCCGGATGCCCCACTCAAAGTGCTCAACCCCCCATGTCCGCTTCCGCCCCTGACCCGCGCACACACCCCTAGCGCGCCCCCGGCCCAGACCACACGCCCCGCAGCTCGCCCGCAGCCCGCCGCATCCGCCCCAGCGCACCCTAGCCATAGCACCCGCGTCCGCCCGCCTCAACACCTCCGTCCGCTAGGTCCCCGACGAGCCACGCGCCCCCGTTCACCGGCTCGCCCCTCGGCCGAACAATATAAAAAGCTCGAATAGAACACTTGCAACAACACGGAACAACTGCTGCAACATTTGGTTGGAGGAGGGGAAACATTTGGAACATATTATTGCAACATTTGTGTGAAGAATATGAAATACCGATCGAATAAAAACACTTGCAACAACATGGAACAACTGCTGCAACATAAGACTGAAGCAACTGAAACATTTGGAATTTGGAACATATTATTGCAACATTTTGTGCGAAGATAAAACATCCATATCAGAAATGATTGCAACATCGTTTAGAAACAAGTGAAACATTTGAACAAATGCTTGCAACATGCCTTTGAAACACTTACAACATATGCAACACGTGCAACATCCCCCGATCTACTTTTCCAACATCCATATGATTCAACTGCAACATACCTCTGAAGCGTCTGAAACAACTGAAAGATACAATTGCAACATGGGGGGGAGAGAAGAGAGCCTGGCGCGGTGAGTGCCATGGCCGTCGGATCTGAGGGCATCAGGAGCTCCTTGTGGGGGACGACGTCGGGGTGCGGGAAGGAGCCACCGAGGTGGGGAGGAGGACGCTGGGGTTAGGGAAGGAGCCGTCGGTGTGGGGGGAGGAGGACACCGCGGTGGGGGAAGGAGGACGCCTGAGTAGGGGAATGAGGACGCCGCGGTGCTTGCGCAGATGCTCGCCCAGGGTGCTCGCGCGCCTCCACAGGTGCTCACCCAGGCGGCCAAGCAAGTGCTTGCCCAGACCGCCAAGAAGGTCCGCTAGCGAGCTCTGTGCGCCATCGCCGACCTTCACACCGGCGTCGAACTCCACGATTCGCCCAAGCAGCAAGGTGACATTGCACGCTGAAACACATGTTGCAAGAGTATGTTTCAAGTGTTTAAGTTTCATCTAGATGTTGCAAGTCTTTCATGCGGATGTTGTAAAAATAGATCGGGATGTCGCATATGTTGCAATGTTGTACACGTATGTTGCAAGCTTCTATCCCTAATCTTTCAGCTGTTTTTCCAAACTATGTTGCAAGTGTTATTATCTGGATGCTGCATATGTTTCACACATATGTTGCAGGTGTTTTGTCCGTATGTTGCATATGTTTTACATGTTTTTCAAGTGTTTTAGGTGTTTTTGCAAGTGTTTCAGATGCATGTTTCAAGTGTTTCATTTGTCTTCAGACGTATGTTGGAAGTGTTGTATCTGAATGTTTCAAAAGTAGATCGGGTGTTGCATCTCCCTCCTCGCTTTTGTGCTGCCTCGCCTCGATGTCTCCTCCTCTCAGCGTTGGCTGGGCATCCGCCGCCCCCTCCCCCTCTTTCTCCATGGTGGTGACGTTCGGGGTGGCATGGCCGCGTGAAACGGCATAGGGAACGGACTCCATGCGCGGGCGTCCAGACGCCCCGTTCATCCGGATGTCCAGTGCTAACAAGCCCGTATAGAGAATGTTATACCCAACATCCAATTGCTGATTATCAGCCTGATCGCTGGGGCTGGCTGGGCTGGCCAGCCCCCTCACGTGAGTACTGTTCACCTGAACCAGCCAGCAGTACTTCTCTCTCACATAAACGAACCAGCAACGATACGAACCAGCCAACCGAACAGGCTGTATGTATATCAGATGGACATGCAGAGAACACTTGGGGCAGGATTTCAATTGGTTGTATATCGAGCAAGCAAGTAGCATGTGCATTTGATATCGGCAGCACACATCTGCGCGCCCTAAGCTAACCCCTAACTCCATGGCGTTTTTCATGCATGGCTCGATCGGTATTCACTGTTGGTCTGTTGCAGTAGAAGACTTGCATGACATGTATATATATGTAGCACACTAGCTAGCACTAGCATGTGTGCATGTATAAATCAGTTTCGATAGATACGTGAGTAAAAAATGCACATTTTATTTGGTTCTGGACGCTCTTGCATAGCTTGAATGCATGCATTCTCACAGTTTAGATCTAGTTAATTTATTTATTTTTGTCAGTAATAAGAATCAATAGAAGAAAACTATACTAACAAAAGCTAGTACTACAAGTACTAACTAGGAAGCGAGATAAGTGTGTATACCTTTTTATTTTTTTTTTTAAAAAACAAGTGAATGCAACATGTTTAAGCTGCTGGCATCCTTGCAATAGATATATCAGAAAACAAATACCAGGCAGTAACGCATCATGCGATTTTTATTTATTTCTAGAGGTGGAATTAGGTGCATGTTCTTTTTTTTTCGACGAATTAGGTGCATGTTCTATTCCAGTATGTTAGAATTGAAAGGGCGATTAGAGTAATTCATACTCCGTATTAGTTAATTTATGTTCCCCTAGAAGTGACAGGAAAAAAAAGAAAAAATGACAAGTAAAAGGAAAGCTCTCTATAAATTTTGTCCAATGCAACACCTTATAACTTGCACCTTTTCTGTTCCTCCCCTTTCAATGGCGGGTGTTGTAGGTTTTAAATATCATTTGGGAACCGAGATCTGTTGGTACAAAACATGACCACACAAGTGCTAGAACGCGTGAACAACAGATGTGAACTTGCTACCAACTCGTGAAACCGGATCATCCGGTTTGTAATACCAGACCATCCAAAAATGGTGGAAAACCTGCGAACACCAACATAGGAGGGACCCCGTTGGGGTTGCAGCATCTAGGGTTGTTCAAAGGTCAGTAAGACTACTTCGAACACCTCAAGTCGCCATGGAGACGAAGAGGACAAAAATTAGGGTTGAAAAAGTGTTCAGGTTCGGAGGAATAAAAGTAGTAAGGTTTGTATGTTTTTTTATCAATTATATATCCCTCAATTGGCCTTGTTCCTTTATATTTATAGGGTGGGGAGGTCCTATCCTATATATGAAGTCCAAAGTCTTGCCTAAAATGCGTAATAAAATTGACTCGAAATAGATCTATAAGCCTGTTCTCGGACTTGCCAAAATCAAATGGTTCGGTAATGGAAAATCGAATAACCAAGTATGCATATCAAATGGCCTACAATGGACAAAACCGGATGGTCCGGTTTTACCAGCCTATATGTGATCTTCCTAGCATCATAGCTTCTTCATTAGGACTACGAATTAGTAGGGGATCCATATATCCCTGTTCTAAGCGTCTCGATCCATACATCGATTCTCATGTCATGACAAACTCCAACATGCAATTCAGCTTTATCTTCGAACGTGGAAAAAAAAACAGTGGGCAATAGCGGCACTATAGCGGCGGGAGAGACTTGACGCTAAGCTATTCTTGTGTTTTGCCACTATGCCAACTTTGACCATTATTGCATGCTATAGCGCCGCTAAGTTCCATAGCTTTAGCGTTCAAATAGCGCCGCTAAGTTGCATAGCTTTAATTTTGTTGCATAGGTGTAGCCATTGTTGCCTCAAGCACTGCCTCTGCCCCAATTATTTGTTTTTTTTTGCGTTCAGTTATTTGTGGAACCTTAGAAACATATTTGTGTTCATCGAATTTGTGGAACCCTAGACGTGTGGAACCTTAGAAACATATTTGTGTTCATCGAATTTCATATTTGCCATATTTTTTGCATTAATTACTGGTGTTTTTTTATGTTTTTTTAAACGCTATCTATCATAGCGTCGCTATAGCTTCATAGTTGCTGAAAAAAGTTGCCGCTATTTTCAACCATGATCTTGATGCTAACAAAAAGTGAAGGAAAACAACAAGAAATTCACTCATATTTTCCCTCATGTTCACCATTCTACTAGAAATTAGAAAATATCACGAACGTTGATACAATCACAACCATAGAGGAGTGAATGAAAACATGGTAAATAATCAGTTGGGAAATATCTAGAGACCTAAAAAAATGCTATGCTGTGGGCTGCAATTTTATGTGCTCCATTTGGCCTTAAGTTCTCCTTGGGTTACTGAAAGATGGCCCAGTGCCCAGACTACTAATCTCTAATTCAGGGATAGACTAGTGGGCTGAAAGTGGAGAAAAAACAGAAACCATATATGATTCAGCCCACAACACAAACAAAGAGGAATAAAAAAATGAGTGCAAATCCCAGCCACAAAACCGACTGAAGTATCTATTTTTTTTTCGGTTTCTTCCATTTCTTCAGAACTCGCTCTTGGTTTTTGCTTGTGCGCCGGGTGCCGACGACGAACTGCAACTTGCATTTATTGTGTCCAAGTCAGTCCAGCTGGCCAGCTGGACCCTTCTCTCCCATTGGCTGAGAGTCACGTCTCCCTGAGCTAGTCAAGGACAGCAATGCAGAAAGAAACAACAAGCTACAGCTTGTCATTGACGATTAAATACAGAAGAGTAGACAGACAGACAGGCTAGCTTGACATTGGAGTCGTCTCTCGGGTAGCGGTCTAGCTAGCAGCTCTCGGTACTTCTTCCATCTTCATCGCGCTGCAGTTGTGTCTGGTGAGGAGATGCAGTCCCGGATCCTGATGGCCAGGCGTCGCCGCCGTTTGCTGTTTGCCGGCTTTTCATCGACGACGACGACGACGAGCAGACCGGCTGCCATGCATGTGCGGCCTTCTAGGTACTCTAGCCCGTGCCGCCGTGCGGCCGTGGCATGGAGAATTGGAGATGGAGTAGCTAGCTATAGCTTGCTCTGTGTGGACAGGTAAGCCTCTCTCTTCATCTCTCGATCGGCGGTGTTCTTGAGTATTGTCGGCCGTTCTTGTGTGATACTTTTGTGAGCTACTCTGAATCTTGGTCTGTCAAATGTTTATAAGGAAAATAAAACAAGAAATTTTTGTGAGATTTTGCTACATCTCTGGTTCCTCTTTGCACTACAGACAAGTTTACCATTTTCTGTACAAAGTTTTTCACATTTCTCGCTCGTTATTGTATTTGTTCACTCAAGATTCGTTCTCGCCCCCCGCGAAAGCAAGATTGTGTCATGTTCGGGATGGACCTGCTGTGGTAAATGAATTTCCGATTTTTTGATCCGAATTCCAGTAAAAAAAGTCGAATGATTTTCCGAAATACTCTCACTCTCCAAACTGTTTTTTTTTTTTATATACATACATATAAAAACAGTCCAAACTCCAAACCGGGTTTGGTACAGGCCGAACAGCCCTGGTTGGCTTGCAGACTGCAGTGCATAGACGCCCATAGGCCTGCGACGCCATCGGCCCATTATGAGAAACATGCGCCCAATTCAACCCATTTTAAAAGGATTACTATCTCCTAAGATGGTTCCGACCCAAAGGCCCAAGCCCGTCTCGCTTGCATCATCTCCCATGGCCCATGGCCACGGCTAGCTAAGCTGCCTAGGTCACTTGCATCATCTTCTGTCTTCCTGGGGTTCGGGGGTCGGCTTTTCGTCGTCGTAGTTTTGGTCTCGTGATCTCCTCCATCCACCCCCTTCCATCCCAACTCGATCAGGCGTCCCCAGCCGTGCACCCAACATTTTGGGCTGATCGGATCCGTCCATCGCGGATGTTCGTTCACACTTGCACTGCTGCCGCGTTGTTTCCTGCGCGTTTCCCACAGGCACCGCGCGCACCAGCAGCCACCAGGAGCAACTTCCCCTTCTTCCTCCTCTTCTCCGCCAGCACCACCTCCACTGCCCTCCTCTTGGTCCTCCTCCTCTTTCAAAGCCCGGATTGGAGTTGCCAGCGAGCCCGCGACGTCCACAGAACAACTTCCACGCGGGTATTCCGTTCTCCGGCCTGTGCCGCCCGCCCGCATCGCCGGTAAGCAGAGCTCCCTTCTCTTCTTCCCCCTTGATCGATCTGGTTGTTCACAACGCAGCTTTCCTTCTGCTCCCCTTTCCACTCCCGACGGCTCGATCCCGATCGAGCTTAATCAACTGAAAGCGCATGCAGTGCAGCTATGAACAACGACGGCGCCCCCGCCCCCGGCCTCCGCAACCGCCGTTTCAGAGCCGCGCTCTACTTCGCGGCCTGGGGGGTCTCTGGGATCATATCCACCACCGTGCCCAGCCTGGCAGCGAATAACCCTGACCACGTCATGGTATACTTTCTCCTCCTCATGGCTGCCGTGCTCCTGCTCCTGCTCTCCATGGCTGCTGTGGATCTTCCCTGGCTGGAGAGGGCGGCGGCTCGCCTCGAGTTCCTTCTCGCCGACATGTTCTAGGACGATCAGACGAGGCACGCGAGCAATCACAAGTCAAAAAAGCTTCACAAGGTCGCCGTATGTACTTTGCTTTGTTTGGTCTTCTCTTCGCGCTGCTCTGCCTTGTGTTGTGTGATATATATGTAGACTGGAGTATTGTGTGTACGTAACGTATGGATTGTTCGATGGCTCCTATAAGTATGCTGCTAAACCCTTTTGTAACCTCTGGAACTGCTGTGGATTATTTTGTGCAAGCTGCCTGCTGTCCTGTTGTTTTATCTCTGATCAGTTGTAATGTGAATACGCATGCCACGCTAGGTAATACTGCATTTAGTTTTGAATTTTGATTGATTATTGCTCCTTGTTTAGTCTTCTTTCTAGAACCCACATTTTGCATGCTTCAGCTTCCAAGCTAGCTGCTAGCTACCACCATGCATGGAGAACTGCATGCATGAACCTGAAATGTTAATTTCTTTCTTCCTTTTTGAAACAAGATGAAAACGTGATGTTAATGCTAGCTGGCACCAGTACAAAAATGTATGTAGCAGACATTCAATCATGATCATGCATTAGTATTGCCATATGCACACAGTACAATGTACCAGAATTCAAAGACTACTATTAGGTAAAGTAAGAATTCAATGACTGCATGTTCTCAGTTGTTGCTAATCAAATGTTAAACAACCATTACACTACTTTGCACTACAAGTCTACAGGCATTATATATATTACTAGGCTAGCTCTAAAACAAAATGCAGCTCAGATTGCATTATATATATTACTGTAATTCAGAAGTAGTCCTAGAAAGGTCTCCTGCATATGTTCATACGAGACTATAATTACCAAAGCGCCTAGCCACACTTGCATTGCTAATAGTAATAGAGTGGACGAGTGGTGCAACTCATGTTTTAAAGTTCTATTTCTTCATGTGTACCAAGCTTTCCTTTTTAAAAAAGGTCCTCTTTATGCAGTTAACAATATATTTCCATCATACATGAATGATAACTCTAATACTACATGAAGTCGAAGTGTGAATACCAAAACATTCTTCAATTATCAAACTATCAATACTGAACACTAGCACTAGTGTTGATAGCTAACAGCTGATCTTATGTCAGATTGGTGAGTAAAACTTTGACTCTTAAGTCAGCACTGGTGGGTAAAAAGTGTGGCTCTTAATTTAACATTTATCATTTCTAGCGTTGAGTTTGTTTGACACATGCGTTTTGCACGAATTTATTCCCTACCTAGCTAACCAGCATGCAATGCATTGATTATTGCATATTTATATATATTTTTTTACAATTAGCACTGCTCTTGGTTTATGGTGCAGCAAAGCATCTATATCTGTATATATGCAACACCTGCAGCATGATCCCCATATATAGCTAAATGGTCCCAAGGGTGGTTAGTTTTTAAAAGTTTACATTGAGTGCTCGTTGTGTTATTTTTGCACCCACATTTTGCATGCTTTTTGCAAGCTCTTCCCCTATCTTTTCCTATGCATGCTTTTAGCTTCCTAGAGTAGCATGGATAATTGTACGTAAAAGAGTCATTTTGCGTAAAAGCTTAACACCGTTAGCCCATCAAACTAACGGAAGGACCAAGAAACCAAAATGAAATTCATTTTAGGTCCAAATAAGCAAGTTTAAAAAAAGGCAAAGAAACTAAGCAGCACTTTTTGGGGCCAAGGAAATAATTTCCTCATATATTATTGGTGAACCACAACAAACACCTTCTCATAGTTATCTTTTCTTCCCCTCACCAACCCTCGCACTCGCACCCCTATCAAAAAACCTCGTATCCGTGCCCTCTCCCCCCCCACCCATCCCCCCCATCTCGTGACTGTTAGAAACCCTTAATAGAGCCGATCAATGGTTGAGGTTGTGCTCGATATGAAAGAAGACCGAAAACTGCTTTGCTGCTACGTCCTTTGGTTCTGCTGGTATGAGAGAAATGGAGTCAGAGTAAGAGAGAAAGGAAGAGACCCAAGTCCATATGGCGCACTGCATTCAGGTATACATGGCGGTCTGGGGCAACAAAGGCAGCGAGGACACACGGTCCTCATCCATGGGAGCGCCCAACGGGAGATCATGTCAAAGCCAATTGTGATGCGGCTTTTGATCAGAACACAAACTCAGGTGGTTGGGGCTGCATTCTCCGCGATTCGGCGAGTGATATGATCATGGCAAAACGTGGAAGAATGGAAGCTCTCATGGATCCAATGCATGGTGAACTCGTCGCTTGCATACAGGGAGTCTAGGTAGCAATTGAAATCGGCGTGGGTCATGTTGTTGTGGAAACTGACGCCACGTCCGTGGTGCAGGCTGTGTACACAAGCTCCTATGATTTCAATGCTATGACCAATCTCATCTCTGAGTTGCGAAGCTTGTTAGCTCTGAATTTTATTTCTTGGAAGGTCCAACAACGTCCGCATTCATGTAATAGGGTAGCCTATGAGTTGGAAGTTTTAGTTAGTCTATACTATCCGGAGGAGGAACATTCTTTGATCTCCGTTCCGATCCATATTCAATCTGTACTTGCTGATGATTCAGCTTTGTCTGAGTAATAGAAATCCCTATTTCCCCTTAAAACCCCTAATAGAGGAAAAAATAAAGGAGAAAGGCCATGTTGTGGGCCGAACGTAATAGATGTGCTCCATTTCGGCTTACGCTCTCCTTTTGGGGGTCACTGAAGGACTGGTGCCTGAGTACTTGTCCTTAATGGGCCAAAAGTGAAGCAAAAGCATACATCATATATGATTAGGCCCACACACAAAAGAAGGGAAATAAATACGTGCGAATCCCAGCCACAAAACAGACTGAATCTAGTGAAATTTTTTATGGTTGATCGACATGAAGAAATTTTCATAATCCGTTTCTTCCTTTTGAAAATTCGCTCTTGGTTTTTCCTTGCGCACCGCGTGCCGCCGCATGGATGACAACGCAACCTGCGTTATTGTCCAAAAAAAGTCAATCCAGCTGGCCAGCTGGGCCCTTGTCTCCCATTGTTGACGATTAAAATTGTACAGCAGAGTAGACAGAGAGACAGGCTGCTAATAACATTGGCCAGCACACTCAGCAGTAGCCGGTAGGTTACCCAGGACAGCGACGTACCATTTAGAGACCAAGCAAGCATAGTCGTCTCTCGGTGCTAGCTTCTTCTATGTTCATCGCGGTGCAGCGTGGTGACAGGTGAGACGCAGCCCCGGATCCGGATGGCCAGGCCCAGGCGTCGCCGCCGGCCGTTGGGGCTTGCATGCCTTTCGTCGCATCGACGAGCAGACCGGATGTCATATGCATGCATGTCCGGCCTCGTAGCCCGTGCTGCCGTGGCATGGGAGTAGCTCGCTTCGTGTGAACGGGTAAGCCTGTATCTCCATCTTTCGGCGGTGTTCTTGAGTCTCGGCTGTTATTATGTGATAACTCCGTATTGTCATGTTTGCTTGAACTTATCAGTCATGCTAAAATATTTTTCTCTCACGACAAAACAGCATCAACCGCAAACTTGTGAGCTATTCTGAATCCTGACCTGTGAGATTAAAATCTTTTTTATCACTAAAAATTCTTTATGCGAGATCTTGAATTAATAAGGAAAACTAAAACGAGAAAAATCTATGAGATTTTGGTACTTTTCTCTGGTTCATCTTTATTTGGACTCTATATATATATATATATATGTGTGTGTGTGTGTGTGTGTGTGTGTGTGTGTGTGTGTGTGTGTGTGTGTGTGTGTGTGTGTGTGTGGATCCAAGGGCAAGTTTACCCTTTTTGTGTGCAAACTTTTTCACATTCGTGCTCGTTATTCTTTCAAATTGACCACCCTATTAAGATAATGACTTCCATGTAGAAAGGGACCTACAAGCAATTGAGTTCTAAAGTTCTCTATGCTTTGATATAAGTCTGTTTGGGGAAGAATATGGCAATTTAGCCATGCCCAACATGATTCAGCAAATGGCATTGAATTATTAGCATGTGTACCAACGACTCCTTCACCATCGCCCTGTTCGTTTGGGCTGGTTTGGCTTATAAGCCATGGCTGAAGGTACTGTTGGCTGATTTGGTATGAGAGAAAAATATTGTTCATTGGCTGATAAGCAATGACTTATAAGCTAAATATGACCAAACGCATATTATTTCAGAGAACACAATTATAGTCTTGAATTCCATATTTTTCCTTCTCAGTAGCTCTCTGGTGCTCAGCCTATCCTTCATGACTCACCATGCAAAGACTTTGTGTTTGTTCTGACTATTGCTGTTCCAAATCCATTTGAAGCCTGTATGCACTGTAGAGATCTGCCCTGGCTTGAGAGGGTGGCGGCTTGCCTCGAGGGCCTTCTCACGGACATGTTCTAGGGATCAGAGGCGGCACGCAAGCATTCACAACTCACAAGTCAACAAAGGAAAGTACTTTGCTTTGTTTGGTCTTCTGCTTTGTATTGTGTGTGATATATATACTAGCAAATATGCTCGTGCATTGCAACGGAGAAAATAAGTAATAAAATTAAAACACGATTTTGTATACAAAAATGCAATTTTGAAATATTTTTCTCCCGTGCAAACCACAAAAATATTTACTCGTAGATATATCATGGCTTTAGTTTTCATACGATGCATGTATTGTTACAATAATATCGAATTACGGCCCTGTTCGCTGGGAGGAATTTGGATGAATCTGGAGAAATTTATAAGAGCGTGAACAGTGAATTTCAACCGTGAACAGTGAATTCCGACTGGTTTTCTTACCAGCCGAACGACGCCTATATATGTACTTCCTTTGATGAGAACCCACAAATAATATGTAATTCTAACATTTGATTCAAGTCGATAAGGAATTAGTTGCCGATATGTGAAGTACTGGTTTGTCCACTAATGATTATGACAAAAGACATCTCTCTATTTCACATGTGGCACTCCTCAGGGTTGCGCTGGTGCATGCGTACAACGCAGAGACACATTAATTTAGATTGGACTGGATTAATTGAACAATCGGCTGAACCAGATTTTAATAATATGATAAGT